TGACTTGGACATACCCCTCACCCAGGGAGACCTTTCCTTCTCCAGCTACACCCCTGTCCTCTCTGGCTCCCTGCTGCTCTGTGACTTGCTAAGGTCATGGAAGAGGGTGTCTGACTTACATACTCTATCCTAGTGAATGGGTTTATAAAAGTAGGAAACATTCACCCTTTACCTTATATGAGACTTAGAGCCCAAGATATGCCTACATTTTTGATAAAAGAAGCACAGTAACAACATTAAGGAGGCTATGCTGCATTCCATTGTTTCCTAAATCCTTTCAAGAAGTGCTGGAGTATGCTAAGCACCACTTAACATAAGGGACACTGCTGAAAATAGCTGCTGCCTCTGATATGGAATTGTAACTTTGTGCAGGCTCCCATTTAGATCACCTTGGCATAAATAAGGCCACATGCTGGAAGGACAGGAAGCTGAAGAGGAACAGAAAGCCAGAAGTGAGTTGTTAACTGACACCATGGTCTCTGACATAGCAGTGTTACTAGGGCTGGAGTCTTGCCACTTGCTGTGCCTCTTCAGCTGCGTGGAAAGAGCTCATATGATTGCATTGGATAGCTTGTATCACCTTCAGGCCTGGAGGGCACAGCCTGCTTTGTCATGTTATTTAATTAAACATACAGTTAGTCAGTACTACCCAAAATGAGGCAGTGACACCTCTTTCCAGATGCCCCTTTTGTTCTTCAAGTGGAATGCTCTTTCTATAAGCATGTTCTGCTTTGTAAGAAGCAGCTACTGCCTTCTCCTGGAATAAGTCATGCAGGTCTTAGAACAGCACAAACTTGTCCTGAGTTGTACAGAGATGCTGCCTGGGTGCTCTAACTGCAGCCCACCAGTGTGGGGGCAGTGGGGGGCACAGACAGAGCCCTTTAACTCACTGACATCATCACAGCTACATGGAGATTAGCAGCTTGTCACAGCAACCACATTTGTCAGAGACAGAGCTGGAACAACCCAGTTTTGCCTGTTACAGCTTCCCTTTCAGATCCCAGAAATAGGAACAAGCTTTAGGCATAGATGAAATCCTGTCAATACCTGCTGTCTCTTGCAGCGGAGCCAGGGTGCACTTAAACTGGCTCATTCCTTGCATTGTTGCAGCCTCTTTGATGGAAGGTGGTTGCTCCAGTTCCACAAAATCTTGCTCCTCCAGCCTCCAAGTGCAGAAAGAACAATTCATCTCCCTTTCATATACCATGAGAAAAGGCAGTTAAAGCAGGGCATGACTGAAGATTCTTCAGTGTCTATTGCACCAATACAGCTTGACTGACTGGTACAACAGGGGCAGCACTACTCTGAACTGCCAGTACTTTAAAAGGAATTTATACCAAATGTTTAAATAATTCAGGCAGGAGGATGAGGCTTTAAGAGTTGTTAGACTTCCCCTTCTTTTCAAAGTTGTCTAGATAAGATAAATAGTATATTTGTACATGTTTCTAATAGTTATGAAAACGTGAGGACAGACTCCACCTCAGTGAAATACTTCAATCTATTTCTTAGATTTGTCTTTGCTTTCATTTTTTAAAGCTCATGGTGGCAGTTTTTAATACAAAAATTGAAGCTTCAAGAGAAGCAGGGTATTTAAAACAACCTACAGCAAGAAGCTGGTGGCATTTTTGAGAGTTTACCTTCTGAAGTTGATGTAAGCAGTAATTTTTCCATTCAGAGCTGCTTAAGCTGTACACGTGTATCAGTTGTTCAGCTAAAAACTTCATTATGTTGGTATAAGAATTGACAGAAATAAAGTTTCATTTGATTAACTGAGTACTTGACGATTGTTTATGCTATTTAACAAGCTCATCTAGCTGAGAAACAAAAAGGTTGAATTCAGCATCACCACCTTTCTGGAATGAAAGAAAAAGACTTTATACAATCAATGAACATATAAAGCCCTCAAAACAGAGGAAAGGGGGCAGCTAGAATAAGGTGCTGTAAAAAACCTGCTGATTTTACATCTATGGAAAATGAAACCCATAGTTCAGCACTTGGCCTGTTGCTTTCTTAGTACCAAAGTCAGTTGTAGTATTAATGTTCACCTCAAATTTCAAATTGCTAGATTATGGTGATACAGGCTGTAAGGTTCTCTGTCAGAAGAATGGCAGGAGTCCAGCATAGGTCACCTAAATTCCACAAATATAAGGGACAAATATCCACTACCCTGTGAAGGTCAGTGCAGCAGGGAGGCATGGCCTATTGTTACCCTTTTCTGAGCAGTGGTGCTTGGATCTCTCAAGAGAAACATAGTATATCCTTTGTACAGCTATTTTGTTCCTCATTGCTGCTTTCACATTAGTTTTTACTTAACGGGTGTGCTTTAGCTAGGAAAATCTGACTTGCTGCTACAGCCTCTGCTGCTGCTATCTGAGCAAACTGGCTTAGTCCCTAAGCAGGAAGATGGGTCACCTTAGGTGCCCTGCCAACTGTATCAGAGGGCATCCTCAGACAGTGGACAGATATCCAATTGCCTGAGCTAAGCCAAAATGAACTTGGCTTGGAGCTGCAATGAACTGCATCCTTTTTTAGCCCCTAGGCACATTCATGTGGACACTGAGGTAATACATAGCAATAGCAGAAGTTGAGCCCACACATATCCTTCATAGTACATAACTACTTTCAAGTGAGCACAGGGAGGTATGTGATCTCTGCCCATTTCATTAACTGGAAAGCTATGTCATTTCCCTTCCACTTTTTGGTTCCCAGGAACAAAAAGAATAATGAAGCAGCAGAACCAAGAAGCTAACGCCTCAACACATTTCACACAAATGAAGATACAGTCTCCACAGAAGAGCTGCACTGCTGAAAATAGTTGGAAGTAGAATAAGCATCCTGGAAGTTTGTGCACTACAGGTCTTAGTACAATTCAAGAGGAGCCAGTGAGCATTTGCACTATTTGCTCAAATGAGCAGGTGCACAGATCAAACCCTTCATATGCAGGCATTAAGGCAACCACACTAACTGATCCCAGGCAGCTGGAATACTCAGGAGCTGATGAGAGCCAGTCCTAAGCCTTAGGGCAAGTGGCCATTGCAGCCCTTTGTGGAGAGGTACAGCAGTAGAAAAGCAGCTGTGCAGTCTCCAACCTTCACAGGCAGCTCCCAGGCCAGGTGTTGCTCAAAGCACTACATCACTGATTACTGATGAAGAGCAGTTCAATACCAAGGCTTCTGCTCAAGATGCAACAATCCAACAGAGGGAGATTAATATTTCTCCTTCAAAAATCCCATATTCTACTGATTTGTGGAAAACCCCAATGCTGAGGGAATCATGTCAGGTTTCTCCAGTCTCATGCAAACTGCTGGTCTTCAACCATCATGGTAATGCTTATGCTTAAAGACAAGTAATTGTTTTTGATAACTCTAACAAGAATTAGCTGTATGCAGAGATATCTAAGCTCCAGGAATCCAACAGCCCATGATGTGACAGTCAACTGACATTAAGTAACTCTTCAGAGTGTTTTGGCCCCATGCAACAGAACTTCATGTAGCTTTATTTGAGAAGTTGTACCTAGTGTGTTTCTGTGTAGATACATCCAAGTGACACTGCTTCACTTTATACTGAAACAGCAAGACATTCTCCAGGAAAGAGATGAATTTTACATGTTTTCCTTCTTTCAGATTTCCCTTATGCATCAATAAAGTTCACCTCCACAGCAAATGTCTCACTATAGATTTTCCATGTTTTAGACTTGTGAGGGTTATCCAGCTCATTCCTGGAAAGGTAGAGTCTGAAAGACAAAATTCAGTAGCATATCTTACAGCCTAAGACATGCTTTTCCTTTCAGCCAGCTGAAAAATCTTTAGTCAGCCCTAGACTATTAAATCCAGCCCCAGACCTTGAATTTAAACAGAAATCAGCCATGCCTGCACAGTGTTTTGCATCTTAAGTCATCTAGGAAACAAAGGCAACCTGATGGGTTTGTGGATTGGCTCCCCACCACCCTCCCAGAGCCCCACAGTGCAAGACAGAGAGAAATTATTACTGCATTCAGCTCAAGGCCTCCTGATATGATGCAAGTGCCAGGAATTTAATAACCAACCTTCCTAAAGGCAAGGATTTGATTCAGCACTCAACAGGTAGCCTAGTGGGGCATCCTCCATAGTTCTGGAGGAAAAAAAGCTCTTCAGCAAAACCCTCAAGATGGCAACGTTGCAGGGCCATCAGACAGCTAGCACACATTTTTCCTGGCACTGGTTTGGTCTAATTGGTCTGCACTGAGACTGCAAGGCGCATTGCTGGCTGAGTGCATTAAGTTAACAGTTACAAAGAGACTCATGGCTACCTCTCCTCAGGCTCTAACAGGATCAGTTAAGTAAAAACTGTCTTCTTTCTATTCCACTCATGGAGAGCACAGTAATTATATCTCCCATGCCAAGTTCACTGTTCCTCTACCTAAATCTGTCAAGCAAGGCAGACCAAAGATAAGGCTCTCTTGTCTTTGCATTTCTACATCACTCCCAAAGCAAGGCAGAGAAGCCCCAACTTTCACCAGCTGGAGCTTCTCCAGGAGTTCCAGTCTCTGCAAGCAAAATCATAGTAATTTCTAACTTTATCAAGAGCATGAGAAGCCATAAGAAGGCCTTTCTTTGTGATCCCAAGCATCAGTACCTCTAACTGTGGTCTTAATATCTCCCTGCTAAGCTACTGAGATCCTGCTTCTCAGGCAACCATACTATCTATAGAGGATGGCAGATTTGAATAGTTAGCATTACATTTTTTAATTCAAATTCATTAACAATGGTTAGAAAGCACCAAGGAAATAATCCAGTGGTTTAAGTTAAGATAAAAAGCTCCCATATGTTTAAAATAGTTGTCACAGCATGAGCAACTGCCAGCTCACAAGTTACAGCCGAGGATCAAAGACCAGTACCCACATGAAAATTAGCTGGCTGATCAGGGCTGAACTATCTCAGCTTTCAGTACTATGTTTATGATCTTTCAGCTCTATAAGACACCAGAAGTTAGGATCTGAAGGCATTCACTAATATCCTTACCTGTTATTTTCAATAAAGGAAGTGTTGAACCAGAAAAAGAATGGGCAGCCATCATAGCCTTTTGGAAGAGCCTAAACACAAATACCTTGTTTAAGGACTGTGTTACACAACAGAACTTTGGTTTGTAGAGCAAGGGTACCCACTTTTTTTCACTTATTTGGTTTAAAAAGCTACAGTGTCAGAATCGGTACACTTGAAGAGCCCCATATCATACACAGATCACTATTTTCTCTGCAATTATTTCAGTACCAAGTCGTTCAATACAATGAGGTGAGACTCACATGGTCAGGAGCAGCAGGTACCAACTAAAATGCCTTGGTTGTACTGCTGTTTGAGCAGCCAGGTGCTTCCCCTGCTTGCCTAGGCTGATATTACAGCACTTGCTGCAGCCCTCACTGCACAGTGACACAGCAGGAGTCACTGGGAAGGAACAGATTCTGCCCTGTGCTGCCCAGCCAGGCAGGACCCACTGCAGCTTGCACTGCAGCCTCTCCCCATACCCAACTGAAGGTCTTCACTCACACTGGTGTACTTACAGAATTGCATTCAAATCTGACTTTCACATCACCACTTAGAACAGGGCAGTCTTCCAAGCCAATGACTACAGTGTCACTTTCAGAATCAAAGAAAAGCTGGATAACAGAATAAAGAATTTGTTTTATGAAAGTTTCTGCAGCAAGACAAGGGACCAATTCATGACAAGACCTAACTATTCATTCATGGTACACAAATACAACAGCAGTGCTAGAATAACAGACAATAGCTCAAGCTGCTCAGGACAGAGTGAACTATTTGCATCTAAAGGACTCCCAGGGAAATCTTTCACTATCTCACCACTACATTTCCTAAGATTTGGCCAAGTTTAGCTTTTTTGTCCTCTTGGAATTTACATCATCCATTTAATTAGACTAGGTAGAAATTTAATATTGGACAAAACTAAGACACTTGTAACCCAGAAATCAGCTTTTAGCTTCTGTGACTCAACTTGTGTGTCTTCATGGTACTCACCCTGCAGTTGTTTTGATTGCCACATACACATTGTAGTACAATTCTCTTCCTTGTTATTATCTGCACCTTCATATCAGTTCCATTGCCCTTCCCAACTCCTAGGAACAAAGTGTTGCATTATACCAGAGGCACAGACATTAGCTGGAAACATAAGTAGTCATGAAAACCATGTGCAATCTCATTCAAAACTGCATTCTTTCCAGAATGTCTTGCTCAAAACTCTAGAGAATTCAAAGGCTAAAGGTAAGCAAAAGGATTCAGTGGCTGAAAATTACATTTTGAAGTTCCCCCCACTAGGGGAACAGGCTAATGTAAAATCCAGTTCCATTTACTGAACAATAGCAGCAATTTGAACACCCCTGGAACAAGGAGTGATGAACTTCCAGCCTTTGATCAAGATTATCAGCACACATGCACTGTAACAGGCATGTATCTAAAGATACATTAGTGGATCCAGTTCCACACCAGGAGTTAGTCTCACTGAAAAAATTATTCCCCTTCCAAAAGAGGGCAGGTTGTATGTAAGCCATCATTTGGTCAGACATCAGAGGAACTGACTACAAAATACTCTTCTTTGTTCTTTGTCATTTAAATTCTCAAATCCCAATAAGTCTACCTTCCAATCATGGGCTTAGCAAGAGAGACAGTTATCAGCTGCCTGTAATAGGAAACCATTACCAGATAGAGCAATGCCCAAATACAAGAGTTCTTACCATGTATAGCGTGGATTTTGATGTTTTTTATTTTGAGTAGTCTCTCTGGTGGGAGTTCCAAGTTATACTTGTTTTTCAGGATCTCATAATACCCAACATACCTACTCTGTAATGCAAAAAACCCAGACACATTATGCAGTTTCTGTACCCACCATGGATTAATTCTAGGCGGAAATAGGATTTAAATAGCTTCTTTTACACCAAGTTTTTAGCTCTTCAAAGTCCAAAGCTAAGAAGAAAGACAATTACTCTCCTTCCCTTTCCCTGCAGAAACAATCTTCTAGTCAAATTCAACATCTACATTTTTAAACAGCATTTAAATTTCATGTTTTAAGAGGAATTCTGTACTTTTTAGTTCAGCAGGAAGTGAGGATATTTTATACTGTAGCCTTATGAGGCCAAATGTTTAAACATACTAGAAATTTTCATTTTATTGAAGGACAGCTATACTTCCATTTTATACCAGCAATTTTAAGTACCCATCACAAGATTCACTTCCCAACTCTGCATCACGCAGAACAGTAAATCAAGATGTGCAAAAATGTGGTCTGAGGCAAAAACTTGTGTAGTATTTCCCAGTGAATGCAGTCTGCAGAAGATGCATTTCTCCACACAAGCCAAATCAGTGCTATGGCCCCATCCCAGGCCCACCACAGGCTTCTGTGCATCCTTGTTAGCAGTCCAATTGCCTCACAGTCCCACTCCTGTGAGGGTGCCCAGCCATGCTGTGGAATCTGCATCTGTGCCCATATTCTGAACCTGACCAGACACAACTGTCCAGGTCACCCTGCTTGAACAGCAGGGCTGGACAGAAAGCTTTCCCAATCTCAAGAATTCTGTTGTTATCCTAGATACTACAGATCAGAGAAAGGTATAAGGAGAAGGGGAAAGATGCAGGGCAACCCTGGCAGCCGTTCATATTCCAGCTCTCAAAGAAAGAGTACAGCAAGTTCAAGAGTTATGCAGGTAATAGGAACCTACATCTCTGAAACAAGGCAGGGGAGGTAGGGCAGCAAAAGCACTCACAGGGTTAGTATTGGTTTGACTACTTCTCTGAACCTGCATGAGCTTACCTGTGAGGGTGTTTCAACTCCTTGAAACTTGGTACTTGTGCTTCTATCAGTTCTCCTCTCCCCAAAGTAGTCCAAACTTGCCTACACAGAATAATAATTTCAAGGGTTAAACTATCCATCCCACCACCATTCTCCTTCTTGAGAAGCAGATATTAAACTGCAACTACACTACTAAAGTCCAGTAAAGGAATGCAAGTAGAAATATGCAATCATTATTCTGGTACCTTCTAAAGGAGACTTTTAACTCCAAGAAGAAGGTACTAATTAGGAGGTCAGACACATAAATCTGTCATTCATGAAAGAGTGAAGGAGAGCAATACAAAACTTTCAAGCAATTGCTTTAGAACCATTTGTATTTCTCAAGTGGTCTGTGGCAGACCAAGCTGAACACTAGCTCATATCTTCACAAGGCAAACTCAGAGGAAAGCAAGTGATTAAATGGATATACAGTCTGCCCAGACTACCTTGAGTGTGCTGGGCCTTCTGCATCCCCAGCCTCCAGCTGATATATCAGACCTGGGATACTAAAGCAGCATCAGCACCTGTCCTGGCTGGGACTTGATCTTTCTCCCTTTTCCTAGAAGAGCTTCCTTTTGTAATGCTGGCTGTCAAAACAAGACAATTCTTGATGCCTCACACTACTTGGAGGGAGACTAGGAAAAAAATTGCTTAAAACCACTTAAAACTAGTGATACTATCTTTGGGAGAGTTTGCTCAGAAGTCACCTACAGCTTAAGTTGTTGCTCAACACCCTAGACACATTATTCCTCCAAAAAAAACCCCTTCAAGTTGGTGATCTCTTAAATGCTATTTTCTCACTCCTTTCAGATGACAAATAGTCTCCATCAGAATTTGCACTGTAGCGAGACTTTCATGAACTTTTTTAAAACCAGACTTTTCAGAGAATTCTTTTTCTAGTATAGAATTTTTGCAGAGTATTAGTGCATCTCACCAATTCAGTAAATCCTAAGAGGACATTTTGAATACTAAACATATTAAAAAAAAACCCAGCAGTTTTTACCTTTGCGCTCTCAAACTGGTCACTGTCTATGAGCCAAGTACAGACCATTGTTCCAGTCCTGCCTGTATCAGACATACAATGCAAGTTAAATTAGAGCAGTTCAAAGGTATTTGGGATTATTTTTGTGAAGTCATCTCCTGTTACCTATTTCAAGAGTTATAAGTGACAAACAAGTAGTCAAGTACTTCTGAGACGAATGAGTTAAAGACAAGATACCACAGTGTGTAGTATTGTTTATGGTATCAACTTGTTCCTTGTCCCCACATTTTCATTACTAGAGACACTTAGGCAGCTGGTCAGTATCTGTATACTCCAGCAGGAAACAGAGTCAAGCTCTACTAAATGAGGCTATAAACTAAAACTTTTAAGTGTTTATAGTTGTAAGTGTAATGCTGTAAAGTGTCAAGAGTTGTTTCTCTGCCCCAACTGTTTCCCCTGCAATGCTACTGAGAAGCCATCAAGTCTGCTAGCATGAAGACGCGAATATAGTTTCAGTTCTTTATTTAAAAATCTCAGAGGTCAAGTCGCCCTCCCCACACTTGTTCTTCAAGCTGGTTTTGACCTGCAGGTAGTTTCAACATTCAGTTTTGCAAAACTTTTTAAGACAGAGCTCCACCTGGGGGCAACTATTTAATGTTAAGTAACCACCTACTTTAAGCCAAGTATTTGCTGCACTAGTAACAACAGGTGGCTAAAGGTGTGGCAGATATTTGCAGGGAAACTTGGCTTACTTGCAGATATTTATGCATTTCAATAGCTCCCACACCACCGTTTTGGTTCAGGTAGCACCTGCAGGTTAGCTCATATGTTTGTCAGCTTTCACTATTCTTGTTTCCATAACACTTCATTGTACTCTATCACCTTATATCATGTGTATCTTGATTTAAGATCCAGCAGTACCTGGAACATTCTAGAGGGTAAAGTTATGGAGCAGACCATCTTGAGTGGTATCACACAACAAACACAGCACAACCAGGGATCAGGCCCAGCCAACATGGATTTATGAAGGGCAGGTCCAGCTTGATCAACAAGAACTCCTTCTATGAGATTGTGACCCACTTAATGGATGAGGGAAAGGCTGTGGATGTTGTCTATTTGGGCTTTAGTAAAGCCTTTGACACCATTTCTAAAGCATTTGACACCATTTCCCACAGCATTGTCCTGGAGAAACTGGCTGCTCATGGCTTGGACGGGTGCACTCTCTACTGGGTAAAAACCTGTCTGGAGGCCAGGCCCAGAGAATTGAGGTGGATGCAGGTACATCCAGGTGGCAGCTAGTCACTAGTGGTGATCCCAGGGCACAGGATGGAGGCCAGTTCTGTTTAATGTCTTTACCAACAATCTGGGCAAGGGAACTGAGTGCACCCTCAGTCAGTTTGAAGAAGACACCAAGTTGAGTGGGAGTGTTGATCTGCTGGAGGGCAGGGACAGGCTGGATCAATGGACCAAGGCCAATTGTATGAGGTTCAATAAAGTGAAGAGCTGGGACCTGCATTTGGGTCACAACAACCCCACAGAGTGCTACAGGCTCAGGGAATATTGGTTGAAAAGAAGCCCACTGGAAAAAGGCTTGAGAGTGATGGTTGACAGCAGCTGAACATGAATCAAGAGTGTGGCCAGGAAGGCCAATGGCATCCTGGGCTGTATCAGCAATATTCTGGCCAGTGGGACCAAGGCAGTGATTGTCCCTCTATGCTTTTCACTGGAGAGGCTGTACCTTGAATCCTGCATTAAGTTTTGGGCCCCTCAGAGCAAGAAAGACATTGAGATGCTAGAATGTGTCCAGAGAAGGGCAACAGAGCTGGGGAAGGGTCTGGAGCACAAGACTTCAAGAAGCAGCTGAGAGAGCTGAGAGTGTTTAGCATAGAGAAAAGGAGGCTCAGAGGAAACCTTTTCACTGTAAAGGTCATAGTGAAGTGGGGTTGGTCTCTTCCATCAAGTAACAAGTAATAGGAGGACAGGAAATGGCCTCAGGCTGTCCCAGAGAAGATTTAGATTGGATATTAAGAAAAATTTCTTCTCCAACAGGGTCATCAAGCACTGGAACAGGCTGCCCTGCAAAGTGGCCAAATCACCACTCCCAGAGGTATTCCTGGAGATGTGCAGATGTGGCACTGAGAGATACAGTTTAGTGGTACATCTGGTAGTACTAGATTAATAGTTGGACTTGATCTTAAAGGCCTTTTTCCAACCTAAATAATAAATAGTTTGAGCCACGTTACAGTGCACAATATTCAGCATGGGTGACTGGCTACCAGTAGCCAAAGCAGCAGCCTAACACTTTTAATAGTAGCAATTTCTGTAGCCTCCCTATCCCCAGTCTCTTGTGGGGGACTGCTGTCCCAGCTACCAGAACACCAAAAAGTTATTGAAGAACATTTAGAACATTAGGAGACATATTAACAGCTTAGACTAAGAACCAATTTAGACTACCTAAAAATGAGGTTGTTTAATACTAAACAGAGTACTGCAGTCATGCTAATCATCACAGTGTCTGCAGTATTTGTCACATTACATCGTAAACCCATCTCATAGTATGGTTTAAGGCCAAACTTTAATCAAATAAGCTACAATAACAAAGATGCATTATTTGTAGCATACACAGATTGCATCCTACCTTTGCCCCCTTTACAGTGAATTGCTATAACATTCTTCTCATCCTGACTCATCCATTCACGGACACTGGCAGTGAATTTCAGCATGTCCCTAAATAAGAGGAAAGTTAGTGGATCAAGGCAAATGCCTACATAGAACTCTTACAAGGTATGTATTTCTTACAAGACTCACTGTAGTGCTGGGACATTGTGGTCATCAATGAAGATCCTTTCCACCCTGTAGTGAAAGTACTTGGGGTCGTAGCCTTGTTCACCTATAGGGAAAGATCTGAAGTTATGCCAGGAGGGGAGAAGGATTGTAACAAAGAAAGTAGTTTGTAACACAAAAGGGCTGGTCTGAGCATGTACTAGTGTCTAAAATACAGTAGTGTTAATAGACATTAGAATGAAAAAAACCAGAGGTAACTTGGCTAAGGCCATGCATGCTTAGCTTCTGGTTTCATACTTTTCACTTATACATTAAATTTTATCTCAAATATAGTCAGCAGCTAAACATACTTACTGCAGAGATTATAGACTTTATAGTGGCCTGGATGTTTGGTGTCCAAAAATCTTGCAACTTCCTAAGCAATAATGAGTTTAGAGTAGTTAGTGCTCTACTTGTTATTTCCACTGCCACCTCAACCCTCCACCCCCCAGGGAGGATCAACAACTGCATTCATGAAAAGCACTTGGAAAGCAGGTCTTTCCAACCTGGCAGCTCATTCTCATCTGGAATAAAAGTACTACTGCAGCTATCTTCCTGGCCCTATATATGTTTCTACAATACCAGGAAGCAGAGCTCTAAAAAGGACATTATGTCTACGGACCTTTAAAGCAACTTTATTTAGATTAACAGATCTTATCACCATTACTATCCTGGGACAGAACTACCTTGATTCTTCAAAACATTCCCAAAGAACAGGAGCATCAAAGCACTGGTGTGTCCCCAGTGAGAGAAAACCACTAGGTTTAGCTGAGACACTACAACAAAAGCAGTGCAGCACAGTGCAGATCACCAGTCATTCCAACCAGCAAAGGCAGCAAAACTAGGACTGACATAATCTAGGCCACATGTAAATTAGTGGGAACCTATAATAGAAGCAGGTTTCAGAAACAGTGAATTTGGTAGGTAAGATTTTTACCTTTATGGGATTCCTGTAGAAAGACTGCTTCCCAGAAGATGGAAATGACATTGCAATAATTCGATCTGTTGAGAAGACAGCAATCACAAGTAACAGCAGGAAGACCCCCTGCACATAAGAACTACATGACTGAGAAACATCCTTATGAAATGTCTTATTCTTCCCCTAATTATAAGAACAATTACCCATTCCTGGTAGGCTTTCCTCTACATTTAGCATAGCTAGAGCAAGACAAATAATGCTTCCCAAAGCATCAGCCACCATCAGGTGTCAGTCTCCAAAGAATCAGAAGCAAAAATACTGTAAGTAGTTTCCCAACACTGGTTCCCTAGGCCTAGGGAACTAGGATAAATTTCTATCATTACATACAGCATGTACAACTCTCCCAGAAGGATAATTCTGGAGAATAGTGTCAGTCAGGAATCCATATTTCAAAATCCCACAGGAAAGGAGTAGGCCTGGTTTGATTTCATACTTAAATTTCATGAGTCTAAAACATTGTCTGTAATTCATTACAAGCTCTTATTAACTGTAAAACAAGACTTTACAGGACATAACATGCTGCAAAGTGACATTTGTTTCCACAAACCAGTAATATAAGTGAGATCCAGATCAAAGCCATCTTTCATATAACGTCTTTTGTTTTCAGAGACCTGAGAAAAAAAAAAGAAAAAAAGAAGAAGAGTTAATCTTCCACAAGAATACCAACGATGATCAATTTTTGCCTGTTACTAGGAAAATTCAATCATGTAGACTCTCCAGTTTAGCTTGAGTAGCAGAGCCTCACTTCACTACAGCACTATCCAAGAGCAAATTCCTAGTATTAACTTCTAGGTAGAAGCTCTGTATAGAATTTTTACCCTTAAATACCAAAATTTATTCTAGTAAAAAGAACACTGCAGATTCTGTGAATACTGCAGCATGAATCTATCATTGTTATTTGACTGTTTGAAAACTGAGGGAAAAAGAATAAAGTTAAGGATTGCTTCTTCCTAAACAATATGACATACCTGAAGCTTAAAGCACAACTTCAATGCCCCTGATGAAAATAAGAGGCATTGACAGTGGATAGGGCTTCAGCTAGATTGCTTTGTTTGTACTCAAAATAAAGCATCAGACACATTAAAACTCTTACCTTCCCCCATGTGAGGGAAAAGAGTCTATGTGCCACACAAGCTAGAAACTGTCAGTTTAGACACACGGGGTGTTGCAATCACTTTGACATGCCAGGTCAAGTTGCTGCTTACTTGAACAAAGCCAAGAATGACAAGGCTTTACTGAGGCTGGGGGCAAAGCTCCAGAGCCCTGTCAGGGACATGGAACAGATGTGCTGCTGGGGCAACACCAGCAATAGCAGACCAATAGGCCATGGTCAGTCTTGCTACTTACCACTGATGCTGCCTGAACAAAGAGCTGGAAACTACTATTAAGTAGCCTAGATATGTTAAGAGGCCAACTTACCATTCTCCTGGTCACCTTTTCAAGTTGCTCCTTTTGCGAAGCCAGACGAAATATTCTTATCAAGATGACAATTCTCAGGATTCGGAGGAAAATAACCATTCTAGACGACAGATTCAGCACGGAAGAAAATGGACACAAATAAACTTACAGGCAAAGATTAAAGCTGTTTAAAAGCTGTTTCAGGGAAAGTTTAAAACTTTGTTTCATATGTTGAACTAGGACATCTCAGGCTGATTTTGGAACAAATACAATATAATGGGTTTATTGTTAAGGGTTTTTTGCAAGTACATGTTCTCAACAGCTAGCAGAACTAGGAAATCCCCTACTTCCACAGGCACCTCTGGCTAGAAAGCAACAAATTCCATTAACATTACCCATGTTATTATCACCAAGTTTTTGTTCCTTGAAGCTTATTCTTAACTATACATTTAAGTGTGTGCAGCCACACTAAAGCATATGTAGCCACCTGAAAAATAACTAAAAATAGGCTAGACAGGCCAAGTACATCATGACTTGATTAAGAAACCCGAGAACCAATCAGTATATATCCTGTGTTTAATCATTCAGCAAGCTGAACAGTTGGTTTGGTTTGAGGAACTTTGAACTATTGTTGAACTTTGAAGCAGGAAAGAAGCTTAGGTGAGCGGTTCTGTCAAAACAACTGAACAGGAGCAGCTGCTTTCCCACACTCCTAGGGGGTTTGTCCTGGTTCAGGGCAAACTAACATTCAATTCATTCCTTAAGGAGGTAAGTGAGCATACATTTTAGGCAGCACACACACATTCTAGGTTTTGATACATTTGTGTAAAAATGCTAGTGAATACCAACAGTAAGGGTGACAAAACTCCAGTTTTGCTCACAGTCTGCCCCCCACTGATATGGAGCTTAAAGTCAACAAGGTAAGGTTGTCCTGAATATCTGGAGGAAAGTTTCAGTTTTTCCCTGAGCTTCTTCCAAATTCAGTAACACCCTCCTGTTTTCAAAACAGAATTTCCTTGGAGCTAGCAGCAAATGAGATGAACCAAAACTGGGGTGAAACCTCCATAACCCCTCTCCCCACAACTCTGAGAAGCAACTCTTCAAGATAAAAGGCCCTTAAGGAAGTCAGCCTGTTAAGCATTAGCTCCCAGACTGATATCCAGCTCTCATTCCTCCAAGTCCTTTTATAGGTCAGACTTCAAGAAAACAAACTCACCCCTAGACACACCCAGCTAGACCAGATTAGAAAGAGAAACCATATTCCTCCATCAGGGCACATTTATGGTCTGTCACTGAAATTTCATTTGTCATATATAAGTTCTCATCCACAAAAAAGCTGCTCAAATTCTAATTATTCTGAGATATATCAGATGCTTTAAGATTACTGTTTGCTTCTTGATGAAGGACTCAGAAAAGAAAAGTGATAAACCCCAGTAAGGCTGCTGAGAATTAATTGGATTTTGTCGACACTATTGCCGTGTTAGGTGGGATGAACACCGTCTAAAGACTTGGGATTTGGTCAAACCTGAGATATCATCTACTGTCAGGTAGCAATATTTTGGTCAGAACACCATTTTAGAGCCTTTAACAAGGGAAGCCTCACAGAGGGCCTCAAAAATTGCATGGGTAAGATGGTATGCCCCAGCTGAGTGTCTTCTGAGAACAGCAGTGTGAAGTCCTCTTCATGTGAGCCAAAAACCTATTCTAGATTCCCATCAACTTCAGCAAGTCAGAATACAAAGAACTTGCACACACAGATCTACAGCCAGGGTAGGATCAGGCCTACTACTAGCATAGCCTAGTAGAGATAAGAGTGCAGATAACCCTGCCACACTGCTCTTTTCCCCTCCTTTATCTGGGTGCTGCTATAAGATGAAAGCTGTTTTAGAAAAATGTGGCCATAGAAATGGAAGGTAATAATTAAAAACTCCAATCACTGTTTAAGACAACCTAAGAGGAAACTAGGTTGCAAAAGCCACTCCTTTGACAGTTTTACTTCTTGATATCCAGGTTTAGCAAGCACTTTAAGAGAAAACTATTACTTATAGATATTTGTCCAACTCTGGATTCTTCAATAACTAAACTTTTTCTTTCCTTTTGGAATAATGTTCCAGAAGAAATGTTCCCTACTTATGCCCATTAGTAACTGAATTTGGGGCAGGGGGTAACTTTTTTTTTAAAGAGCTCAACTTTCCCCTGGCTCACGTAAGAAAGTTTCTCTAAGTCAAACCTAGTGCAGATAAACTCATCTTAAAGTTGTAGTTCTGTCTCCATCAGGAATAGATTCATCTCACAGGTTATCATCTGATCAAGATACAGAAATCAGAAGGAAACAGGACTTGAAGCAGCTTATGCACTTAAACAGCATGTCTCCTCTCCCCAGAGCACGGCTGGAAAATCCAGCATTATATTACCATGAGGCTTTTGGGAAAGCAAAGCAAAGGAAACAAGACAGTTTGGCAACTCTTTCTATTGCAAGATCCTTTAGACAGAGATCCTCCCTTTGTTGTCCCTTCCATTTGCTACAATAATGCAACTCTTTCTGCCTTCTTCAGACCCTCCTCTCTATTAGGGCTACAGCACACCCTTCCCCAAAAAGTGCTTGAGTCAGAGCATTTGATGGCCCCACTTCCAGTTACCTCAACTAGTATGTTCAGATTCCCTCTGCCTTTGAGGCAGGGACAGCCTACAACACAACCACAGATTGAAGGTGCGTGTCTATCCTTCATTGGTCTGCACCATGACAAACTATCCCATCCCACAGTCCCATCTGTGATCTCAAATGCACAAATCTGGCTTAAAGGTGCCCAAGAAAATTCGTAGAAGATTATCAAGATAAGAGCTCACACTTACCAGCTGCCATGCCACTCTTACCTTGGTATCTCCTTTACTGCATCAACATCTAAGAAGCAGTATGTCAAATTAATTAACAGGGTGCCCACCACTATACACGCATCCAAAACATTCAGTTTGGACTGGAAATAGTTCCTGAAGCTGAAACCAAGGATAGTTTTAGACAGATGCCATTACAGGTAGCAAAGACTGAACTATATCTCCAAGAAGAGAACAATCTATACAGAGCTACTGCTCGAGAAAAGCTCTCCTGCAGTTTTTCTTGACACTAAGCACTGAAGTCTCACTAAGAAAGCAATCTTAGCCCTGATTTACACACAAGTTATGGCAAAGCTGTGTAGCTTCCAGGTGCTCACTTATACTGAAAATACTTAAAGGTTGTTCTATAGAAGGGTAGCCACCAACATACACAGCCAAGAAAAGACGTGGCTATTATCTATGGCCAGACAATCAGCTTACAGGACACCAAGCTCATAGCTCAAGCTTGAAGTTCTGCTTCCTTCCTAGCTTGACGATTTGCCACAGGGACTTAACTTTTGCCTATGTCTTACCCTTCAACAAACACCCTCAGGAGAACATCGATGAGAAAGAAGAGTGCTATTGCCAGGGAAACACCTTCAGGAATCTCTGTACCCTTCTTCCTCTCACTGATAGCCAGATCCAGAATCACAACTATAATGTCCACAATGATAAGTACAACTCCAAATACTCTGCAAAGAGAAAAATACAAGGAAGTTTGAGAGGTAGGAATGAACACGTATCTGAACAGCACAAACCCTGACTTCTAAGCTGTTCCAGCAAGAGTGTAATCTCTTACATAGATTGATGCCTGCTTAATTAGAAGCTGAAGATTTCCAGCTGCAATTTTAAGTGATATGCACAGAGGCCATCATCTCTGTGGAACCATATATTTATCTCAGACACAGCTTTAGTAATTAGTTTATGATTTCACATCAACCTAGAAGCAGCGCAAACCCGAATGATTTAAGGCATACAAGTATCATTTCTGCTTTCACCTTACTCAGCTTCCCTCCCTCTCATGACTTAATACAGTCCCTAAAAATACCTGTCTTTAATGGCTTGCCTTGTCCCAGCACCTAGACTACACACAACTGACCAACTGTTTGTTCAAAGGCTGCCACCAAGAACAAGCCATTAAAGAGGTTTTATCCAAGACAATGACATTTACAGTTCTGACTTTCAGCTCTTCTTGGAGAATGTAGTCATATCTGTTTAAGTCTTATATTTCAATTCCAGTACTTTTCTCAAGTTACGTTTCCTGGGGGTGACAAAGGATTCAGTACTTTCAGACAAAGCAAGCTGGAGTTGCTGATGTTTATAGGTTCTTAAGATCTTACTCCAGAAATGAGGACTATTGCTACCTTTCCCACATCATTACAAGCTCAAGCTTTTACCTGAATCCAAATGACATCACAAACGGGGCAATTTTTCTTCTAGTTGCACTGCAAGAGAAGAGAACTGACATCAAGACAAGTGACATTTTGCTACAGACATCAGCCACAAGTGCACTGTTACATTCTTTTGTTCACATTCCTTTAGTTTTAGTATTCTGCACAGTAGTAGCTTCTCTAAAATGAGATTACTCAGTTGCATTCATGAAGTATATAGGTTAAGAGAGTACTTGAAAACAGTGCTTTTATCACTTGTTAGAAAACGTATTCATCAGCTTCCAGACCCTAGAAATACAGCAGTATGTACTTATCCATAACATTATTCCATGTCACAATTTCAGTGACACTTGAACTCTGGCTTAGTAAGTTACAAGAAGTGGGTTTATATTGGTCAAAAGGAAGATTGGAAGACAAACATCTCTTAATATATTTCGTTCCATATATTATCTTATTGTATCAGACCATTTTTTTTCACAGGCCTGAAAAGAGCTGCACTTGTTAACGGCTCCCATGCCTTCGGAAAAGAGGAATAGAAATCCCACTTCTACTTTAAAAAAGAAACATCAGTTTGGCTTTCAGATTGAAAATCCAAATAATCTTTTAAGAAAAAGTGTTCTGAAGCCAAGTTATTCCATTTGTGAGAATTATCTTCACTCCTGGCAAGGTCACAGCTCTTGTTCCCAATTACAGTAGATTTTGTTGCCTCTTTGGTATGCTTTAAGCCCTTTGGTTTAGAACAAAGCTTTTACGTAACTCTTTCTGGCTCAAAGCTTCTTTAGATTACACCAAGAACTAAGGTAGAAGTTCTTGGTGTAGAACCTGAAAAACTCAAGTGCTGAGAGTGAAAAAACAGACTGCCTGTCTGTTAAGCAATCCCAAGATAACTACTGTAAGCATCAAGTCTTTTCTTAGACACTTAGAGGAAAACACCTTTTTACAAGCATATCACTAACAGCAGGACTTCCATTAGTTCTAACATACTGACAAAAAGTACTGATAGATTTGGTGCACTTCAATAACTCAGTTTAAGACAAGAAGGCTAGGTACCTTTGAAGTGCTGAGGCAGCATCTTGCTGAGGTTACTGAATTAACCCACATTTTTCATTATTAGGTTCTTACTCTAAACTAAGGTACAAGGTCTAACCAGCAAACATTTGCATTCTTAAGCTGGAGGTAGACACGTGGGTTATAGTACTCACTATTCCTACAGAAGTCAAGTATGTAATGACATGTCTTGTCCTGAAGGCAGCTTAACATATAGAAGGGTTTTCCTGCTATTTATGAATGCCAGGAAAATGAATGAATGAATATCTAAGGAAACATTGCAATAATGACACTAATGGTTTGCTGGTCTATGTCTGTCCAGTCAAACCTACAATTGTAGTGGAGACACCACGACCTCAACTTCCACAGTCTGTGGACAAGTACCTCTAACTAGGTATACTTGAGACCAAAATATACACACACACCACTCCAATTTGGCCTGCCAACATCTTAGGTGAAGGAAACATGGCACATTTGATTACATAATTAGCTTAGAGCTTCAGTAAAATACTTCTGTAAATTCTGAAATCTAGAAAAACATGTTCTCACATAGACTAACGGAAATAACAGGCTTAGGCTTCCTGTTCCTGAGCTGCAGCGCTTGCCACTGACTCGACTAAGTTTGCTGTTAGAGTAATGGTGTGGTAAACACTGTCAGGCAATAACTGTTTCAAGAACAGAGGTAACTACTTGCAGGTTCAGACAACTTAGTCTTGATGTGTGCCACAATGCTTATTCTTATGCTCAGGTTCTCATTCACCTCATTGGCTCACCAGCACCTGTTCTTCTGTGCTCCCACAAACTCATTCCCTTGGGAAAATTTAATCAATGTGGTGTGGACTACCCATTCTCCATAATATGATGGACTTGTGTTCTTGGGTTGGACTTTTATCTCTAGAGGGATAAAGAGGCTTCCACAATTTATTTGTCTTCACTATGTACTAGAAGAAATGTCAATATTAAGCATTTTACTGGGCTTATCTCTACTTCAACAAGCCACCTGCCTTCTTATTTTGGCTCATCAGGTTCCACTTCTGGGGGTAAGCAAAGAAATTGATCTATCATTAGCTTACTTGGAACAGCTGTCTGGTTCATTACTCTCATCACGACCGTTATCAATCTTTACTGTGGCCTCTTCAGTTGTTGCAGAGCTGGCAAAGAAATAATACAAGTCACACACTGATAGAGGTGTCAACTCTGTACATTGCTAAGATTTGTTGCTCCAAAAAAAAGAATTAACTGTCAAGTGAACAGCAGCCTGAGCCAGAGGAAGAAAGACTTCCCCCATGTTGACACAGCTGAACCCCCTGGTTATGCTGATCTATTTCCTATTAGCAGACCCTTTCTCAAATGTTTTCCCCTTTTTCCCCCCAAAAAGAGACAGATGAGTTCAGCAGTAGGATAAAGGGTTTTGAAGCAGGGCATCCACGAGTCTGCTAAGGACTCAACAGTTCAGGCCAGAAATATGCATACGCAAAATGGCTTCAGAGAGTCCAAGTGACATTAATACTGTTACAGTGACCTTCTTGTACAGAGAATTAATGTTTTCACCAGGAAAAGCCATACCATAGAGATGTTTTTGCACAGAGCAGGATACCAGACCGGAAACTGGAAGACCAGAGCAGCAGCTGAGCTAGTGCTAGAACAGCAGTTTTTTGGGGTAGTGGCTGCTTGCCATAACTTCCTTAAAAGGGTCTCTTCAGATCAAGTTTTTGCTTTTTTGAAGGCCACATGACAATTTCAGAGAAAAAGTATGGCATCAAAATCCAGGAGCCTTATTTCAGTCTTCTCCACAGAAATACTGTGATGCATAATAGCACAGCCACAGTGTTTGCTGAGGCCCTGCCTCTGGTTTCACAGCTTCATGGCCAGGAACAGCTACACACACACATTCAAAATTGATGTTTCCATTCTGTTCTGAGGCAGCCTAGCATGTTTGAAGCATTAGTGTAATAATTTTGAGGATTCAAATATCCTTCATCGTCCGCAACAGACCCATGCACTAGCACTGCTGCTGCAGTCTGGGCTAACCACCTTTCAAGCAAGAAGTTTAATGATGCTTCTCCTAGCATCATTCCTAGCTCCTAGTTTCTGGAGCCAGTACTGATGCTCCACCACTTGCACTCAGTATCAGGCTCAGAGGAGAATTATTCTGATGTAGCAATTTTAGCATTCAAGCCTCATTTCCTAGCTCCAGTGTTTCCAGTGAAACCTGCCTCATTTTGTTCCTAGAGCTGAAGCAAAGCTTTAGGATGGACAGGCATTCAGGTTTGCTTCCCAGCCATTCTTACAGAATATTCACTTGGGTGTTCACACTTACTGAACAGCAGAAATGCTTCACTTATTAAAGCCTGCTACTGCTGCAGCAATTTTGCTGCAGGTCACTTGCTTATACTTGCAGACACATGGTGTGCACCAAATGCTACCTTCTTATCCTCTACTGTGATTAAAATATGCCACAAAAAGAATGAGAAACAAAAGTGTTTTCAGTTAGGAAAACAATCCTTAACACAAAGATAAAACAGAAGCCCAAGTGAACTGTTTCCATAGTGCTCCCACACAAAAATTCACTTCTAGATAATGCTTTCCTCAGAGGGAGTTTGTTTTGCTGATCATTCTACATCTACTTGTTGCCCAAGACAGAACAAGTGTTCAGCCATAAGCTATTACAATTAGGCTTTGACTATGGGGGTGGAAGAGAGTAAAAGGAGGACATATTAGAAGAAATTGTTTCCTTCACACACACACTCCATACAGAGCACAAGCACAACCTCAGATTTGAGGCTTTTAAAGTAAGCACAGAAAGAGCCTTGCTCTACAAGAGACCTTGACACTCTTGTAAGTCTCTTGACAGTCTGGATGCTAAAAGAGAACACACATTAATACCATGGACTTACTATATCAGGGATGGAGACCTTGTACTCATTAATCACTTACTAACTACTTACAAGAAATGAATCAAAACAGTGTGTTTCTCCCAAAGATACCTCTCCTCTCAGACAACAGCACTGGTGGCAGAGGGGAGATAAAAAGACTATGCTATATAACATTCAGACACTTCATCATTATTCCCTTTGTTGTATTTTAAGCACTAAGGATCTAAAGACACAGTACATATTCAATCCCAAGCCCCCTTGCTGGCACAGTTAATTTCACTCACCCAGTTGATTCTCTTGGCTGGATCCCTTGTTCATACCTCACAGCTGTCATTTTGCTTGCTGTTGTTGTTGTTCTGCTGACCTGAAGAGAAGCACACCGAGTTGAAGTGAGACAGTACAAGAAACTGTGAATAGCAGCATCCTATAGTAGCCTCACAGTCCCAACAGCCAGCCTACTGCTTCATTTTCCACTATTTCCCCCTATGGTTGACAAAGCTCAATCTTTCAGCTGTAACACTGGTGAGAGTCAAGGCATTCAGCCCTCTGATGAAGGGCTTTTGACTACACCAAACATACCACAGTGATAACAGCATCCGTACCTCACGGTGAGGCGTTTCGCCCGGCTTCAAGCTCTGAAGCGCAGAGGAACCCCAG